CCTATCGTGAGATTATGAAAATATTCTCATAGTTTATCTCCTAAGGAAAGTTTTCAAATTTTATTTTTCATTTGAAATAGATTTTGGTGTTCCTGTAGTAAGGATTCAGTTTATTGTTTCTGTTTCTCCTGCTTTTGTTTAGATCCAAAGGGAATTGCTAGTTGATGCAGTAACTCCTGTTTGGATCCTCCCGGGATGAGTAACTGGAATGCTGAAAAGCACCAGGGATATACTGTAGAACCAGTTTAAACAGTGCTTTCAAATAATATGCATTGCTCAGAAGCTTGGGCCAGTAGCATATCTAACTGGGGTTGTTAGTATATACTTGGTTGTTGTACTCAGGATATTTCTGATATAAGATAAACTTTTCTATCATACTTACATGAGGACCCTGAAGGATTTTATGACCAGACTGTGAGTGCTTCAGAATTGCTCATTTGAAGCTGAATGACAGATCCCTTGGAAGATTCCCAGAGTGGTGAGGCAAATGCTCAGAGTCCTGGAGTGAGATTAGGCATTTTTGAAAATAATTCTCCTTCATTTCTTAGATATTTCTTAAGACAGTGCTCTTTATTTATTTTTTGCTAGATTTTTTCTATCTTAGAAATTTATTATCTTTTGGTGCCTAGTGAATTCTGATCAATTGTTAGGTTGATTACTTTAGTAGGAATCCCAGTTCAAAATTTCTCTCTCCCAGGAAGTCTTCTAAATAGCTTAAAGAGTCTATTAAGTCTGAGCTGGGGCACATAGACACTTTTTTTTTTTTGTAATTTGTAGTACAGTATTGTTTTCAACATAAGTTTTGTTTTTGCTTTTCATTCTTTCGGTTTTTGAAGTAGAAATTAGATGATCTTATTTTATAGTGTGTCCCTCTAGATCCCTCTAGATGCCCCAATATTTTTTTTTTACAATAATAGATATTCTTTATCTGTATATACTGATTAACAGCTGTGTGCTAGAGGCCTTCCATGATGAGCCCCCATTTGCTTTTCTAGCTTACCTACTTTTTTCCCCCCAGAAATAATGTTCTGTCAGTCTGAAAATAGTTATGTTCTAAATTTTCCTGTTGGTAAGAGTTCATTTACTTTTGCCACTCTTAGCTCTTTTTTTTTTTTTTTTAAAGATTTATTTTTTGGCCCTCGCTGGTGTTACAACAGGTTAAAAAGCCAGCACTGCAAGCAGCCGCAGTCGCTTTAGTGAGAGTTAGATCCCCAGCCCCAGAGGTGATGCCACATAACTTGATAGACCTCTTCTGACCCACTGGTTGTTCCCCTCAGCAGTGTACTTTGTCATTTTGCCTGTTCTGCTTCCCACTTTGTGTCTGGTGAATCCTCTCACTGCCACTGCACCTCTGGCTTGTACCCCAGTTCTGTGTGCATAAATAAATAAATCTTTAAGAAAAAAAAGAAAACATTTATTTTTATTTGCTTATGGATAAAAGAACTTGTGTGTAGGTTAGAGGTGCAGGCAGGGGGTGAGAGGATTCACCAGAGACAGAGTGGGGAACAGAACAGGCAGATCTTCTGAAATACACTGCTGAGGGGAGCAGCCAGCTAGTGTGAGTTAGCTCCCTGGCTGGGGATCAGAATGGCTCCAGTGGCTGGCAATAGCTAGATAGCACTGAGACTTTAACCCCTGTGTCACCAGGGAGGCCCATTCTTCTTATAGTTTTGACTGAATACAGTTTATCTTCCAGTTGCCTTCCCAGGGCCTTTTGCCAGAAATAATTTTTTTTACTTCACTGCTGTGACACTCTAGCACACCTGCACTGGAAGTAAATACAATTTATTTATACAAGTATATGTTTAACCCACAGGATTATAAATCTCTTATGGGTAGGTAGAGACAGTTCTGTATCATTCCTTAGCGTTTTGCTTAGTATGTGCAAAGAAATGTTTGTTGTAAATTAACTGATTATTACTCTTAGTCATTTACATATGGATTAATGCAACCACTTCTCAAAAGAGCTTATTTACTTAAATAGGATAGCATAACTACTTCTCAAAAAAAAGCCCACTTTTCTAAAGATCCTATTTATTAAAAATAAAACTGCTGGGGCCCTCCCTGGTGGCGCAGCGGGTTAAAGCACTGCACTGAGAAGCTAAAGCCACTTCCGCATGAGTTCGATTCCCGCCTGCCCGGGAGGTGAC